AACCTCCCATTGAGTTTTATTGATTTTTTCTCAATAAACCAGCAGCTTTTGCGGATGGATATTTTGTTTTAAATGGAAACTCAGATGGGTTTTTTGGAATATTGAGTCCTAACTCCTAATTTTTCTGTTGTGTGCAATCCCCAGCTGAAATTAACTTTAAAGGTGGCTGCTTTATGTTGTTTTCTTGATCTGTTGGGTCCTGATTGATCAGCTCTGATTGAATGAAAGAAACACAGTTTCAATTTGTGCAGTTATTGACTTGTTCTGTGGACGTGTTTTGCAGTGTATATAGTTCAGCTGAGAAATAGAGGGCAATTCTAGCTGTTCTGGGTTGGAATTTGGGTTCAGAGGGTTTTTAAAAAGTTGTTCTTACATGTGGAGTTTTGGAGGGTTGTTTGGATGAGATGAGGGATGTTATTAGAGTTAATGAACTACTTGAACTCCTGTTTTCGGCCGAGGTCGAATCGGTACGTTCATACCAGTGCCGATTCTGGTGGTCGCCAAGACGGGCTCCTGTGGTACAAAGACACGGGCCAGCACATAAATGGTGATTTCTCAATGGCTGTAGTTCAGGCGAACAATTTACTTGAGGATCAAAGTCAGCTTGAGTCGGGTAGTTTGAGCACACATGAATCTGGCCCCTATGGTACTTTTGTTGGTGTTTATGACGGCCATGGGGGGCCGGAGACGTCACGCTATATCAATGATCACCTCTTTCAACATCTCAAGAGTAAGTGAGTTTAGGCTTTTCTAATGAGATTTGGAACATTTTGGAATTCCTTCAGAAAGCTTTGTTGGCCTTGTTGCTTTTGGTTTGAAATTCTCTATGGCCTTTATATTGGTGAGGAATTTGATGGGGAAGAAATTTACAATATAGGGCATGATTTAGCGATTTGGTGCATTAATTTGGATTTGGAACCTTGTTGAATTGTAAAGAAGAGCACCTTGAAAATGCAGTTTTTATTATGTTTTTAGAGTTAAAAATTATGAGTCACCCTTAATTAAGTTGAGTATGTGCCATAAAGGCAGGTTCAAGTGAAGATTTTGCATATCAGCGTCTAATAGTATAGTGCACAGAATACGAACTTTACATTTCAATTATTGCATTTGGGCTTAGATTCTGTATAAACTTCTGTTGTAAATTTTGAGTTTCTGTGTAATATGCAGGATTTAGTTCGGAGCAGGCAGTCAATGTCTGTGGATGTAATACGAAAAGCATTTCAAGCAACAGAAGAGGGCTTTCTTAATGTAGTTACTAGGCAGTGGTCTATGAAACCACAGATTGCAGCGGTAGGATCGTGCTGCCTTGTCGGTGTTATTTGTAATGAAACTCTTTATATCGCCAACTGTGGTGATTCCCGTGCTGTTTTGGGGAGAATAGTGAAGGCAACAGGGGAGGTGCTCTCTATTCAGTTGTCACAAGAGCACAATGCCTGTATAGAATCTGTGAGACAGGAGCTGCAGTCTTTGCACCCTGATGATCCACATATCGTAGTTTTGAAGCATAATGTATGGCGTGTGAAAGGCCTAATACAGGTAACTCTTTTACAGTATCAGGAAATGGTTAATGATATCAGCTCTTTGGAGTTAGACCTCGTTAATAACTTCTCTACTTTCTTTGCATCAAGCCCTAGTGGCTGTAAATACTTGTGTTCAGTGGTAATCAAATAGTCAACAGTGCATGCTGGAAAGTTCCATATGGCTGTAATTTAACTATACTTCTCCAACTCCGTTCCTCAAAGAGAGTATAATGTTCGTTTATGATTTCCGGATGACTTCATCTGTGGTGCGTTGGCTATTTTATAAGTTATATGGGATTAAAAGCGCGATCAAGTTTTCTTCTCATGCCCTTTCCAAGTTTGTATTGCTTTCTTGTAATTGCTAAGCAAGAATGAGGGAATTCTCACACTAGATCGCGTACTTCACAAAGCTAAAAAATAATCTGGAATTTTTACTGATCTAGATTGCTTTTGGCTATGTGTGAAGGAATAATGAAGTTCACACATTCATGTTTAGGGAAAATATGTATGGTATGTATGGTTTCACATCTTAATACTAGTGATAGCTCTGATAGATCATTACTCAAATCTTGATAAATATCAGTCCCTGGAGGAACAAGATGTGTGATCACTGATAGGAGGCATCTTATCATATATGAAGACAAACTCCGTGGACAATATTTGGTTATTTTCAGTTTTGGAATGTTACACAATAGATGATTTGACTTAATACAGCTTATCATTTCTATGATGTGAAACTGATTTGGTAATCTTACATCTTGCAGATATCTAGATCTATTGGTGATGTGTATTTAAAAAAGGCTGAATTTAACAGGGAGCCTTTGTATTCCAAGTTTCGTCTTCGGGACCCTATCAAAAGACCAATTTTGAGCGCTGATCCAGCAATTTCAGTGATCCAATTGCAGCCACACGATCAATTTATTATATTTGCATCTGATGGGCTATGGGAACACCTCACCAATCAGGAAGCAGTGGACATAGTTCAAAAACATCCACGAAGTGTAAGATTTATTGTTGAATAGTGTACTGGTACTCTAACGATAAAGTGATTATATTTCTTAAAAAAGATTTAACTATTCTTGTGTCGGAAAGTAGAATCAGGGAGCAGTTGACATGTTAAACTTATTGCTAGTGTAAGCCTCGTATCTCCATATTTTGTTTTGCTAAAGAGAGACAATATTGGGGAAGAAAATAATTTTCCACCACACAAACCTACCTGGTATCTCAAATAGAACTTTGATTCACAAAAAGTAAAGTTGGTATTTAAGATCATAGGATTGCCTTATAAGTCTGGGTCTAGGATGGTTTTGCTTAGTTGTTTGGCTTTAGCCTCCACATTAAAGGAGAAAGGATTGCCCTTATAAGTCCCTGTCAGCATGAAGTTAAGACTTTCTGCAAGTTATCAAAATTCTACGGTGTTTGGTACGTTGAATTGAATGAAAGCTGGTTTGTGTATTGGATGTGTGTGCATTCCAAAATTTGCACACGTATCAGTTGACAGTAGGATCTATCTATCAGAGTGGAGCCAGCTCTGTAAATAGAGCGACCCTCAGCTGATTATATGGAGAAATGACTTGTGAGATACTTGAAATGATCCTCTATGAAGTCATTGTTTCAGATTTCGTTAAGCCCATGATTTGTAGGATTTGGTTCAAACTGCTTTTAGATATCATGCAGCAGGCGGTGCATATTGATAGAGTAGAACAATCAACTGGGTTCTAGAAACTCAAATTTTCAGACGTTTTAGCTGCATTGGTTCTTGTACTTTTAGACAGAATATCACTCTATAATGCGCACAGTCGATCAAAACTCAGCATTTTCCATTGTGCCTCTTGTCCTTGATGAATAACTGACCCATAAGTTTTAGCTGTTTCATAACTTCGGGTTTGTGGGGGAGAAAGATGAATCCACCTATATTTTAAATCTGTTTCATTTCTGTATATCTTATTGGTCAACCCCTTGTGATTATATCTTGCTCACAAGTCGGTCTTACACGGAAACTCTTTCCTTTACGGCGGAGAATTTAACTTTTGTTTCCCAACCTCATGCAGGGAAGTGCAAAAAGGCTGGTGAAAACCGCCCTGCAAGAAGCAGCAAAAAAGAGAGAAATGAGGTATTCGGACTTGAAGAAGATTGACCGCGGGGTTCGCCGCCATTTCCACGATGACATAACCGTGATTGTCGTGTTTCTCGACTCAAACCTTGTGAGCAAGGCTAGTTCTGTCAAGGGCCCGAATCTATCGGTGAGAGGAGGTGGAATCAACCTGCCTCCTAACACCCTGGCTCCATACGCCACGACAACGGAAGCTGGCAATACCTGATTAAACTGTATCTCTCATGTGTGTTCTGTTGTACCATCATCCTGTGTTAATACTAGGTAGCTTGCGAACCAAGAACATTTCCGAGGAGCCGGCCTTAGATTCTTTAATGTACACTGTAACTTTTAACTGGAAATCTAATACTTCGCATTTAGCTTCTGTGCCAACAACAAAAACGGAACTAGGAGAAGACAACAAGGTGACAGTAATCACAGCTTTATTTCCGTCACAATGTTCTTATCCTGTCGTCTTTCTTTTTCTCTCTTTGATTTCCCTTGGAATTTCGGATCTGTAAATTTGTATGACAAGGCCAATTAAGTTTTTTTGCTTCTCTTTTTATTTATTCATTTTTTGTCGTTGATCTATTTTAATTGATTCGTTTTAATGGTCAAAAATTAAGAGCATGTGTAAGAAGTAAAAATGAGTGTAAATAGAACTTCCGTAGCTGTTTTGGATTACTAATAACATTTCATCTAAGTTAGTCTTTGAATTGCGGCAATTGAGAAACTGTGGTCATGCTTGAGATGGGCAAAACGACTAGATTTAGAGAAGAGGTTGATGGCTAAAACTAATCGCACTAATCATCTTTAAAAACGGAGAGATTAGGACAACATCTATATTACTTCCCTGATTGTACATGAAATCTGGTCCGGTCTAGCCTTCATATCAAACATCGACCATATTATTTAAAACGTGACATAATTGGTAATGCATGCATAGACTAAAAGTGAAACTTCGTTTAATTTATGAAATTCACAATTTCAGTATTTTTTTTTTTTTTTAACAAACGATATTATCTACAGTAGAAAAAATATAGTAGGCTTAGCTTTATAATGGGTGAATAATAATATGGTTTAAATTCGTTTTTGACGATAATCGAATTTAAGATCTCTAATTGAAATTGTGAATTTCAATTAGATCTCACTAAAAGCAAAATGCAAGAGGATTTTTAGCATACTCTGCATACAAGTCAGTATAACAGATATCGTAATACAAGTGGAGTGACATTAAAAATATCAACTATTCACTTATATTATATAATGTATCATTTTCTATTTCGAGTACATTAAAAAAATATCTCTATGAATATACAGTTTAATACGAAACAAGATGAAAGTATCTGTAGGGCTGGGTTCGGTTCAAAATTTTTCGGTTTTTTTTCAGTTTTGATTTTTTTGGTTCGGTTTCACTCCGGTTCGGTTTTTTCCATGAATTTTTTTTTTTTTAATCTAGAACGAATCTGCAACAATTGATTGAGGATGCAGAAACTTCTGCATAAAATGAATACGAACTGGGATGATCGGCCATGGATCTGACATTAGTGGGTGTCGGTGCGTCTTTCTTGTTGTGGATCCAAAAGCTCTCGCAGAGAAAAAAAACACATGCATGTGTTAATTCTTTGATTTTTCCATAATAAACCCAGTAGAACTAAATAGCAGCCAACCAGGGAGATTTTTACATTGGGGGTTTGTTTTTAGTCCCAAACATCTCGTCGCTCGTCAGCCATGGCAACACCTATGCATCTGCTGCCAAATTGGAAGATTATAATATGCAAAATTCCAACAAAATAATTAAAAGAAAAACCCATTTTATGTGGACATTAGCTGTGCACATAATAATTTATAAATACAAATCCAATATTTGTTGGTTTCATGGAATTTACAAAACCAATTATTAACCAGGGTTGTATTTTCAAAGGTTTCTGAAAAAACAGTGGGAAACAAACTAGGAGCTGCTGATACATTTATGAACAAAAGAGAAATCATTGATTCATCATATAGTCTATTAATTCAGTAAATCACAATATAAAATTATAAATTATATTTGTTTCGATTCGAAAATTACCTGTGAGAGATCGGAAAACCCAGATTTAGAATCTACCAATTTGGAGGGGGTTCCGATTCGAAAGGGGCGAGGGAAAATCATGGTTTGGAAGAAGGGGAAGAGGACAGGAGAAGACTGGAGACTGGAGAAAGAGTGATTTGGAGGAAGAGAGGAAGAAGAGAGAGACACAGACTGAGGAAGCAGCGGAGGGGAGAGAGAGAGAGTGAGTGTTTGAGATCTGAAATGGGAAATGGATAGGAGTGAGACGGCTAGGGTTTGTAAAGTTAAGAAAGTTTATAAAGCATTAAATTTAAGAAACCTATAAATAACTTACTGGTGCTATTATAACAACTCAAACCCTACAGTCAAGTTGGCTTGCAGTGATTAACTCCAACCTGCAGGGTTCAGGGTTTAAACCTTGACGCCAACATGTTTTTAGTATTTATATATGATTTTTTTTCTGTTCGGTTTGGTTTTCGGACCTCAAAAACCGAAACTGAACCAGCCAGATTTAGTTCGGTTTGGTTTGATAGTTTCAGTTCAACTTTTTTCGACTTCAGTTCGGTATGATTTTTGATTTTCGATTTTTTTGAACTCACCCCTAAGTATCCGTGCATACTGTGTATTTGTGATTGGTCGCTTTCAATATTAAACTGTAATAAAACCATAATCTGCAATGCTGGCTCTGAGAGGTTTTGCTTGTAGCTGTAGCTGCTATGACTTATACATATAATGTACTATCTGACACATTATTTTTATCTTTTGTACGTTTTTTTTAATTTTCAACATTCGTATAAAAAAGTTGAAAATAATTTAAAAACAAAAATTAACAAAATGTGTTTCTAATAAAAAATGTGTGGATAGCAGTTTTCAAACAAATATACATCTATCATGCTTCATCCAAATAATACATCAAATCTAATAAAATTCTAATAAGGGAGAGTTTTAACTGTCTCCTGACACTATCAGGGCATTATTCCCGCACCACCTCAAATACCCAAAAAAAAAAGGAAAAACACCTAACTAGTTTAACCTAATCACCAAATAATTATTTTAATGGTGTACTTTAATCTAACCCTAGACAGAGGCACAACAGTCAATGCCACTGTTCCTACTGTCCTTTTGGATTGACCTATCCATCTCAGTCCATTTCTGAAACTGTGGAAGTCAGATTTCAAAACATTTCCTTTAAAAACAAAGAAGACGACGAGAAACCAATGCATGGAGCACTAGCTTGATGCCTAAATTTGGATGGATTGGGGCCACTGAGGTGATTCTGAAAAAAGTAGTTATAAAAAAAATTTGCAAAAAATCCAAAAATACAAAGATGCAAAACCTAGCTTTGAAAAATCAGTTTTTTTTCATATCAGTTTTGCATAAAATTTTATCAAACACTATAATATTGTTTTTTTTTCTTTTCCAAAAACACTTTTACAAAAAAGTTTACCAAACACTCTGCTGCTTTATTTCACAATTGCTTATTCTCACAGCACAATAAAAACTGTTTTTTTTTCAAAGCATAACAACACCAAACTAGCCCTAAGAAAGTCGAAAGAGATATGAAAACAAAGAGAGAGTGACATATGGCTTATCGCACGAGTTGGTTGGTTGGTTGCTAGCCAATCATGTGACGAACATACTACTTCTTGAATTTATACCTTTTTTTATTGAAAAGTGACCATATAGAATTTCATTGATAAAAAAGGCAGAGTACAACATAAGTAAAGGGAGAGGTGATGTGTTAAAAACTTACACATAAATTTAACCCTATAAATTATGCCATCATAGTACAAATAAGTAGTGATTGTTCTATTCGGGGAATTAGAAGGAATGCTAACCAACACAAATTAAATTTAATAAACTGAAAATTAAGTTAAACTAACAACAAACCAATGACTAGGGGTATTTTGGACAAATTTAATTAAAACAAAAGTAAATGATAGCAAGTAAATTAAGTTGTGAATAAAATATGGGTGAAATGATAGCTAAATGATTATTCTCCACACATGAATCATATGCATACAAATCGATTTCCAGTTATTCTTCATATAAACCATGAATGACAATGCCCCAAATTAACCGTGAATAGCACTAATTAACTCTCAAATTTTCCTAAGTTCATTAAGTTGAACTCAGCGACGCAACCAAATTATTCTTCTCAAGTTCCCTAACTATGAAAGCACGATAGAGATACATCTCAAAGATCATTAAGTTCTATGAAAATCAAAAGCATTAACAAAACATTCATAACTATAAAAAGCATGATACTCCTGCCAAGAATTTACTTAACTCAATCATGACTAGTGATTTTTATTACTGACAAATATAAGTTCATAACAATTAGGTCAAATTTCCTTATATTCTAGCATCAAATCCTTGTATGCAAACTAAGTGTGCACCCTTAATAAACATACACGAATAAGTTCTCTATAAAGCAGATAAGTAAATCGCATTCATGTCTTATGAAACACTAACTGGAATCAATCTATATAAAACATATGATCATGACTTCGAATTCACCTTTAGCTAAAAAGAAACTTAGTTACACATGTCATCATAACTGAAAAGCAATCTAAAATAAACATTGAAACTTAAAACAAAGAGAGAAAGAACTCTGAAAACTCCAGCAACTCAATGGATGAATGGCAAGCGCATCACACCCTAAATTGTTGCAGGAATTTCATATATATATATATATGTGTGTATATATATATATATATATATATATATATATATATAGGGGGAAACAGCTGAATCCAAGGAGGAAAAGGTTTTGGCGTTTGAATTATTTTAGAACTCTAAGAATCAAGTGGATAGTGTTGGAATGTGATTAGGATTCCTTCTTACATCTGGAGATAAGATAAGATAATGTAGGATAAGATAGGATACGATAAGATAAGATAGGATAAGATAATGTTTCTCTCCAACTAGGATTCCTCTTTCTTGTGTAATTCCTTGCCTTCCAAGCCTCAACTTTAATTTCTCTAGTTTTTAGCACATATCTAACACCTTTTAAACACCAAAAACGTCTAGCCCATATACCATTCACACTTGCTATCCAATCCAAGTCCAAAACTGCTCCAAATTACTCTATTTTGCTATATATTGTCATCTTCACCAACTGAACCAACAATAATATGAAAATAACTTAAATTACTACAATAAATGGAAATTAACCAAGTAAATGCAAAGAAATAAGATAACAAAGTCGCATAAATATGTTCATATCAAGAGGAGGAGACCTCCTTTCACCAACAGTTAACAACCATTACATTCCAAAACAAGAAGATCAAACATGAGATCCAGCGATTCTTCGAACCAAGACTGGAGAGTCTCATAATGGGGGCAAATTTTACAAGGCGGTGGGACATCCTGTTGGTCTGTAGTCGAACATGGGCAAAAAAACCTCCAGTGATTGTAGACAGCAGAACTTTAGGATCTTTAATAATAGGACCAATGATTGATCTATTGATCAAAGACTTGCATAAAGCCATCATAATCTGAAGGGCATCATTCTCTAAAATGGAATTTTGGTAGCCGCTTTCAACACATAACGACATACCCTCCCTAGCCGCCAAAGCCTCAATATACGCGGAGGAGTGCACATCATCAAAGCGAGCCAGTCGAGCTACAACAAAAACCCCCTGACAATTACGAACGATGATTTCGACACCGCCACGCTTGGAAGAGCAGTCCCATGACCTATCCATATTCACCTTAAGCTTCCTCGCAGGTGGATGCATTCAACTGGCAGGAACGTCAAACTAACCCTTGACGAACTCCACTAACCAACTAAGAGCCTTTGCTACCACCACCCCAGGGTGTTCCGAGTTCCCCTTCCATAAGTGGTTCTTACAAGCACTCTAGGTTGCCCACCAAAGTATCAGGCAGATCTCAAAGTCAAACTGCTTAAGAGAGGTAGTCAAGAATAGAGCCCAATCCTCCATTGACCCAATGTTCAATCCCCTAGGAGGCAGACCTAGCCGGGAAGCCATCCAAACACAGGTAGCAAAGAGGTAATCTCGCAACAAGGGATAGATAATTCCCCAGAAAACCCACAGAGAACACATGACTTTTCCACCCCCTAATGTCTTTTAACCAAAGCTTGACGGATGAGAAAGATGTTCTTGCAGGCGCACCAAGCACATATCTTCACCTTAGGGGGGACACAAGAATCCTAAATAGACCTCTAAACTGGCAAAGAGAGTTGGTTCCAGCAGAGGGCGAAGCCATACCAGAGTCATCCAATACCCACCCTAAAGTGATGTGATACCCACTTTTAACCGAGAATATGCCATTTTTGTCAAAATGCTAGATTAAGCAATTAGAGGGACAGTGGGTGTTGAGGGGCAACAAATAGATGCAGTTAACCTCCTCCATCGAGCAAATCAACTGAAGGAGAGGCAAATTCGAACGACGAGGATTTTCCTCGATCAGGTCCTGGACAAAAACCAAATCACAACTAGTCAGCTTAGGAGATAAGATGCGGAAGGTGGAAGACATGGGGATCCATCTATCCTTCATATATGAATCAATTTTCCCGACCCCACTTGCCAACTGGAACCCTGAGTTAAGACAGTTCTCACAGACACAAGCTCTTCCAATAGTAAGAATCGTTGGGATTAACCAAGGCCTCAAGAAAGGTAGATAAAGGGTGATATTTAGCTTTGAAAACCTTCGCCATAAGGGAGTTTGGGTCATAAATGAGACGCCACCCCTGCTTTGCCAACGAAGTCAGGTTAAAGGCGTGCATATTACGGAAACCTAAACCTCCCCTACATTTTGGGGAGCAGACTCTCCCAATTCAACCAATGCATTTTCCTTCTATCATCCGAGCCATTCCACAAGAATTTAGCAACCATTCGATTCAGATCATCACAAAAGTATTTTGGCAGGAGAAAACAATTAATAACATACAAAGGAATAATATGCGCGACAACCTTTACTTTCCTTCCATCATCTGAGCCATTCCACAAGAATTTAGCAACCATCCGATTCAGATCATCATAAAAGTATTTTGCCATGAGAAAACAATTCATAACATACAAGGGAATAGCCTACGCGACAACCTTGATCAGCAGTTCCCGGCCAGCAGTACTAAGCAGTTTTCCCCGCCAACTCTAGAGGCGCTTCCACAATCGTTCCTTGATGTAGGCGAAACATTCCCTCTTGTTTCTCCCAACCAGAGTTGGCATACCAAGGTATTTTTCATGTCTCTCCACCCTCGTGACACCCAACTGCAGTGTCAGTGCACCTTGATCCAATCGTTTGCAAGTTTACCATCTGACCCGATACCCTCTCATATTCAACCAAAATATCAGAAACCTGGCCGCATTCAACCAAGGTGGCCCAGGCAAAAAGTAAACTATCATCAGCAAATCACAG